CGGGCTTCCTCCTCATGAAAATGACAGCACGTTTTTATTTCTTAATGACGGAGGAGATGGGTGGTGTTGAGGGGCTTTGGTGCTGGGTGGTGTGAGAAAGCAGGCCCTCTCCTCAAGACGTAAAAAAACTGTGGCGGATCTCTGGGGTGACCCGTGCCCGTCTTCCCTCCTTCCTCCCTCTTTGGTTGCACACACTGGTGGTATTTTAATCGTAAATTGGATTAGCTGCTTATGATGCGAATGCTGTTGTAGTTAATGTGGGTAATACATAAACTGCTCTATGCGTTCCCCCCCCCTTAATTGCCTAGGGTGACAAATGGTTTTTCTTCCACTGACTAGCACTATCTTCTGTTTCTAGTTACTAAATACATCTTGGATATTTCTTTCAACTCTTTTCTTTTAGGTACATCTCAGTTCCAAAGTATTCATTAAGGAGAAGGACTGCATTTTGGTGTCATCGTGTCTTTTTCCAAACACTTCAGGTGTTTGCTTCTTTATTTCCTTGTGGCTCTAACTCAGTTTTTCCTCAATATCTTGGTAAAATCCTACCAATTTCTTGCGTGCTTTTGTACTCTTTCCTCTTCAGCCTCCTTCCACTCACCCACCCTAATAATGCGTTATAATTATCTGACCAAAAAATATTTGCATTATCAGTTCTTCACAGCTTGTTAGGCTTGGATCTGCTTTTCCATGAGGTAATACATTAAAGGTTTGAGCTCGTGTCTTAAATGGTAATTGTACTTTACAGAATTTTTCATATAGATTAACACCTAATATCAAATATTTTTTTTTTAGGGGATTATAGAATTATAACGGACTACTGTGATCTTTTGACTTCTTGCATAAAGCACATAATTCTACTAATTTATGCATTAAATTTCTATGTGTATTCGTGTACCCGATAACTTCTTGCAAAATGGGGGCCAAAATTTGGAGAGCAATATTGCTAAATGATAACTTTAGACATTGGATTTTTGTTTTGCTCTTACAGCATGAGTTGAAAGGTCTCTTAGTGTCAGCTATTTCTCCAAACGCATATTTACAGCTTTGATCTAAATATCTCCTTGTGTCAGTACTTCACAGTGTTAAATGTGCGTTTGTTAAAATGATTTTTATAATTGCCTTAAATGAAATCAAATTCATCATCAAAATTGTATTTTGTAGGTATAGGGGGAGATTATGCATAATGCTTTATCTCATGTAAAAATGTCATGAGAAATCACAGCTCCAAGCAGTGTTACTCTATCAGCTGTTGTGTTTGTGTGTTTTATGGAAAACCAACCTAAATCTTTCCTTCTGTATGTTAACTGGACTGACCACCCATAGGTTTCTAAGCGTTCTTGTGTAATACATCTATTTCCCACTGTTCTAACAAGAACGTAAGCTACACAACTATGCTTTCTGAGATGTGTAGGATAGAAAAATCTATGATGTTTTATTGTGATATTTTGTAAACAGTCTGAAAATCATTATTTTTCAGACAAAAAATACAGTTTTAGTTTTATATTAAAAAGTGGTAATTTCAGAGATTATTTTGGTTGAACAGAGTTTTGCTTTTTCTAGTCTGATTTCACTATTGATCTGCAGAATATTTATACTTATGCAGTTGTACCTGGAAATGTGATTTAGTTTTTACACAAACAGCAGTCATTTTTGTCTGTAAAAGACGACAGAGGCAGACTGTTTAAAAAGAACAGTTACACCAGGAACATGGCTCTTGATTTAGGGTAATCTGAAGCCACATTTTTGCTTCCTGTTCTTCATTCTGGCTCAAAGACACCCATTTACATGTTATCCTTGTTTTCCAGTTGGCATTGTTACCTTTATTTCATGATACATAATTCTCAAATCATACAAATCATTGGATTTTTTTTTAATTCTGTAGTGATACTTTTCCTGTGTACTTTATGCATGTGTTAATAATATCCATAGCGAAGCAGTGTAAGCCTACCACAAAACTGACACGGACCTCTGTTACTATTTGAATGTATAGGTCTGTTTCTCTATTCCAAGGTCACTAGTTGATGGGATGAAATCAAAGAGATCCCTGAATGTGACCCATAAATGTATCATTAGGTGTGAATCTTTCAGGCAAACAGTTACAAGGAAAAATCTGTTAAAATAGATCTCTCTATATTTTGAAATGCAATTACTTAGAACGGAAGGCTGGAAGTGCCCTTTTCTAACTTTATGACATTGGGTTTTGTTCTCTTCTAATTATTATCTTGTTCCATCTTTATTTGTGCCCTTCTCTTGTTTTACGGTCTTTTTTTTTTCCTGCTTTCTTTAACAGAGCTTGTAAGCCTAGCTGAAATTGCTTTTAGCTCAATTGTATTTGTTCAGGAATTCATTAAAAAGATGTTCCTTCTTTCTGGGTTTTTTTTGTGTTTTTTTTTTTTTTAACTATTGTTCAGTTTTCATGTATGTTTTGTAGAAAGTTTGAAGAGCTTTGTGTAGTATCAGCACTTATTGCTGCCTGGTTTGATTTATTCAGGATGGAACAAATGGTGTTTGGTCTTTCCTGCACTGGAGTGGGCAGACTGGATTCAGAAAGCGCAGAGCCTCAACACTGAGGCATAGACGACGTTTGCTACTGGAATAAGGCAACTGCAATGGAAAAAATACATTCTCCTAGTCCCAGGGTAAGTTTGATTCTGAATACTCGTGTGCTTGTTAAAGGTATGTTGCTATACCAGCCCTTCACAGATTGGATTCTTACACAGATTTTATGGTAATTTTAAATAAAATCCAATCTGACATGATGGTTACATAGAAGCAAGATTTGTGAGGAGATCACCATTTGTTCCTTAAAATTGAATTTATTCAGAAATGTACTATATATTTGTAAAGTCACCCACCAGAAAGTGGCACTTCCAGTGTTTCGGGAAATACTTTGTGTCTGCATGTTCATTCAGAAGAGGCACAGTCATGGTTAACAGACTAAACTTGACCCACTTTTTTTCATCTGTGTGCAAAGTGCATGTATTATTCATGCTTTCTTCTCTTTTTTTTTTAACGTTTTCCAAATAAATGATTCAGTGGACCTTTTTTCTGTAAAGGTCAGTGCCAGTAGTCATGTCTCGTGGATAATTCTACAATAAAAAGGCATGTAAATAATCTGGAAGAAATATTTTATATTTTCTGGGGCTTACAATCAATAATGTGTTCAAAATCATAAATTGTTGGGTGTCAACATTGTTAGAAGTATTCATTTTTAAAGGAAGTCTAGTACACTCATAAGAAGCCCATTTAGGATAAAAATTTACCTGATAGACCTGTATGAAGAAGTATTATCAAGATATAATGAATTGCACAGAAATAGCAACTTCTTAGGAAGAATCCTTTTGTAGATAAGATGTAGGTTTTGAATCTGTGGTCTATCTCCATGGCTCCCCAAAAAGAAAAGAGCATAACAGTTGGGACATTTAGAATTGATACTGTCCTTCAAAGACTGATTTTCAGTGTGTTTAATGTAACGGAGCTAGGGAATACATCATTTATATGAGGATATTTATTTCAAAAGTGTTTTTTTTAATGTTATCACAGAAATTTGGGTATCCTATAATTTCTTCTTGGGAGTGGGGTTGGGGTGTCTTTAAGATCTTGAATTATTTTTGGAATTTCTTTTGAGGTGTCAAGCAATTATTTAAGGACTAATTAATCCCAAGAAGTCACCTTGTACAAGAGGATTTCATAACAATTACAGAACATACATAGTTTTTAAGGAGTTTTAAGCGATTATTAATGCTAATAACAACGCCTTTACTTTCAAATTACAATGGTCAACCTTTGAAAAGTAAAATGACTGGGATTATTTAATTTCTTTTTTTTTCTGCAAAAAGTGCTGTTCTGAAGGTAATGTGGCAGAAAATAGACAAGTCCTAAAAGTAACAGTAGAGTTTGCTGCTGGAGCACATACTGAGGAAAAGCATATGTATGTAGTTTTGCTCGGTAAGGAGTTAGTTTTGGTTACTTCCGCTTGACTGAATGGTTGTTGTCTTTGTGTTTATGATAAATAGTAATGGTATTTTAGTGCTTCTGGTGTTCTTAATGCTTATCCTATGTGCCATTCTCCAAGCTAAACAAGGAGTTGCTCTGAGAGGGGTACCAGGGTGATAATACATATGTTTACAAAGTATGTTAGTGGAAATAGTGTTTTGGATCATAGATTAGAAACTCAGTTTTAACGGTTGTTGCATAGAGAGATTTGGGATTCTTGAACATTAGTCCTAAGAATACTCCAAATTGATTTTTTTGTTGTTGTTGTTGTTACAGTGTAAAGGATTTAGTTTGATGAGTGTCATGTATTTAAGGAGGAATCTTGAAACCTATTCAACGTATTTTCATAGACATGTTTGAAATTATTTTGTAAAATTTAAGATTTCAGAAAGTGAAGTTAGAGCTTTCCATGTTACAGAGGTGATTGTTCTAATTAAAACAGGACAGGTGTTTTAATTCAGAGTTGTAGTGTTCAAGTCAACAGATTAACTGAAATCAAAAATTGCCTGGGAATATTAAGTGCAACATTGAATTTGCATTTTTTATGCTCAGTTGTAGCTGTGATAACAAATGCTTTGTGCTAATGGTTTTTTTTCTTTAATAATTTTCTTTCTTTTCTGACATTTACAGAACAACTGAGGATACAAAGGACAATGCACAGTGTATATCCCAATGACATTTTGTGTGCTGTGACATGGTTTTTGCCATGGCATCTGAGACTGACAAGGCCCATGCTCTTCTCCAGACTTTCAGCACAGCTTCAGTTATTTCTAGTCTAGGTTTGGGAATATTCTGCTTTGTAGCAGACAGACTTCTGCAGTTTTCCTTTATTCAGCAAAATGACTGGCTCCGAGCCTTCTCTGATAATGCAGTGCATGGTATACTAGGAATGTGGTCCTGGGCAATAGTGATTGGGCTCAGGAAGAAAAGTGACTTCACTGAGGTCACTCTGGCTGGCTTCCTCGCCTCTGTCATTGATGTGGACCACTTCTTTCTTGCTGGCTCCCTGTCATTAAAGGTAAGTCAATAGATTAGTGATTATTTTCTTTCTTAATCATTGTTTATTTTATTATTCTTCTACCATGTCCTAAACAAAAAAAAGTTCCAATGATACTTTACTTAGATACATTTTTAATAGGTATATGGGAATTATATTTGTCTGCAACTGTTATGATATTAGAAGCCCTACAAATATTTTACATCCACTGTTAAGTTCTGCTCCTTACAAGGCTCTCAAAAAAGAGTTCTGAAAGCCCTTGTACATGATATCCTGTGTGTATCACATGGTTGCTTTGTTAAACAATTAAGTGCTGCCATGCATGCTTTGTGTATAAAGTGGATTATTTCATTTCTGTTTACAGTAAAGGGTAGAAGTATCTGGAAAGTAGGTAATCCAACTGCTGTTTGATTTTATTCACTCTTACTGAGTAGTACATTTGGTTTTAGCCAACCCTAAATATTTCTCCCACAAACAAGCTATATGAGGTGTCAGCTTTAAAACAGCAGTCTGAGTTGGCCCTTAAATATAGTTTGTTGTAAGAAAAAAAAAAAATAAAGCAAGTGTCAAACTTGTTAATAAAAGTAAAAAGGTGAATTGGCTCCTGTTAAGGAATATATGTGATTGTCATCCACTTGCAGAACTGCTTGTTAGGACAGAGTTTCTCAATAGGGTTAGTACTACCAGATGACGGCATTCTTTTTCAGTGGTTCTCCAGTGGTTTAGATGTGTCCTGTTCCTGCCTTCCCATTTCCACACATGTACATACATTCCTGTCTTCTTGGCTACACCAAACACATATACCCAGCTTTCGCTCTTTTGTGTAGTCTCTTTTGTATAGTCCCCAAAACATTTGTACTTTCTGTAAGCTCCAGCTGTGCCAGCCCTGGCCGCAGTTCTCTTAGTGCTGCCCTCCAGATCTCATACCTCAGGCAGACACTCCTTGCTCCCAGCTAGCTCCTGGTCCCCACAACTAGAGCCCTGACGCTCTCCTTGTTATCAAGAGTTTGTTCTGCTCAGCAACACAAGCCCTCACGGTTTGATTATGCTGGTGTTCTTAGCATATGTATACATACATGCTACTTACTCTCCCCTCCCCCAAAATGTACACATCCACCTACGGGTGGACCTGCACAGGAGAAGGGAAAGATACCAACCTTTATCCATTCAACCGAAGCATGACCTAAGTTATTTGACCATCTAACTGTCTTTCTCCTGCTCCAGTTTGCTCATAATGACAGAGGAAGTAGCTTCTAGGGAGCAGAGGAAGGAAGGAAGTGGAGGGAAAATTGCTGTTCTCTGTAATCCTTTAATTAAAGAACAATGCAAAATGGTTTACCAATTTTTTTTAAATACGTAGGAGACAGCTAAATGCAAGAAGCATTATTACTTATAGTTGAGATGTAAAAATCAGACTTCCGATGGGCAAGTAATTTTTGTTTATGTACATTATCACTATTTGTTGTGGAAAAAAAATACGTTTTCCTATTTGTGCATTTGGCCATTTTGCCCCTTGTATTTGTAGTTGACAAAGAGGGGATTTTCACAGAATCACAGGGTGGTTGCAGTTGGAAGGGTCTTCTGGAGGTCATCTTCTCAACCCTCCCGGCTGAAGCAGGCTCATCTGGACCCAGTTGCTCAGGACCATGTCCAGACAACTTTTGAGTATCTCCATGGATGTAGATGCCACAACCTCTCTGGGCAGCCTGCTCCCATGTGCAGTTACTGTCACAGTGGAAACATGTTTCCTTACATTCAGGAGGAACCTCCTGTGTTTCAGTCTGTGCCTGTTGTCTCTTGCCCTGTCACTAGGCACCAACAGAGCCTGGCTCTGTTCTCTTTACACCCTCCCTTCAGATATTGGTACACCTTGATGAGAACTCCCTTGAGCCTTCTCTTCTCCGGGCTGCACAGTCCATCCTTTCCTCATATGCAAGATGCTCCAGTCCCTTCATGATCTTGGTGGCTCTTCTCTGGACTCAACCTGCAGTGGCTCCATGTCTCTCTTGTAGTGGGGAGCCCAGAACTGGACTTGGTACTCCAGAGGTGGCCTTACCAATGCTGAGGAGAAAGAGAAGCATCACCCACCTCGACCTGCTGGCAATACTCCTAGTGCAGCCCAGGATACCACTGGCCACCTTTGCCACAAGGTCACATTGCTGGCTCGTATTCAGCTTGTTATTCAACAAGTTGAATTTCCTCAAAACTGCTTTACAACCTGTCAGCCTCCAGCATGTGCTGTTGTTCCTCCTTAGGTAGTCCCTGGTTCTCCCCTTTTCTGTACTTTTTGCATATGGAAATACTGTAAAATTATGAAACTATATAAAGGAAAGGAAAATTAGTTTGGTTGATTAATGAGATTTGTAATATTAACATTTTGGTATAGCATTTAAATTTATAATTATTCTCATGTATATTATTTTAAAATCAGTAAATGCAAGTAATGAATGGCTAGTTATTATTGTTAAAATTTTAATGCTGTTTTTTCTTGCATTTGAAATTATTGCCAGTATTTTCTTAATTATGACCACTAGATGACACTCTTCACCAATGTCTGTTTAGAAAGTTGTATTGTATCATAGAATTGGGAGGTCACCTGTCTCTTTACAGTCTTCAGTGAGGCAAGGTTAAATATCCTTACACTTTTCCATGATGGAGAACATTTGTGTAGCCTATCTGTAGTATCCCAAACAAAGCAAATTATTGCAGTTTCATGACTTAATTTTCTTCTGTGTTGTTTCAATTCCCAAGCAGGTAGCAATTGTTTTTCTACTATCCAGCCTAAAGTATTGTTGACAGTTAAATCTTGTTTCTTTTTCTTTAAGGCCTCTCTGCACAAGACAGCTAATTGCTGTGCTCTCCCCAAAAATGTTTTTCAAATCAGGAGTACAAGATATAGCAGGTAGAATAATAGCCCTTTAGTAGCCAACCTTACTTAGCTGAGTAAGGAGAAGGCAAGATGCCCAAAGGCTCTTTCGTAGTCATTTGCCTACAAATTCATCCCCCTTCCATACATTAACTGGGCTAATAAAGGATGTTTACCTGGAAACGATATCCTGTGTAGGTTTCTTCACCCTTACAGCAGTAACAGCATTACTCTTACAACTTGCAAAACTATTATGTCATATGTAGAAAACACTTCTGTCTTTTTAAAAAGAAAAAAACAATGTTACAGGTTTTATGTCTTCTTGCAATGCCATCAGAGTCTTTTCAGTTTGTGATATAATGTAATCCCCATAAACTTCTCTGCTGTGTTGTTGCCTGGCTAGCTAGACCTGATTTTAGTATGTGATTTTTGTTTCCTCAGCTTAATATGATGCACCTTTCAGTTTCATGTTGTAATTTCAGTCTGTTGCCTGTGTAATTTATTACTTTGTGGGATACTTTTTTACTATGTATTTGTTAGTTCCAGTCCCGTGTGTCCTCTTTAGATTGCAGGATTGAGAGTAACTGATTTAAGAGACTACAATGTTTACTGCTAATGCAACACAATACTAAGTAACTAATAAATTAAGAAGTCTAATAAACTAACCACACCACTATTACTAATTTGTAACAATAGTAATTTTCATATTGCTCTACACAATTATCTATAAAGCTCTTCATCATCACTTTTAAAACTGGTGACGAGTTACTTTTTTGAAGTAATCCTTCTATGCAGCACAAGGCAGTATTCTTCTTCCAGTTGCTACCTTCACTCTACTGCAGTCATCTATTCCTGTTCCTGCTTTTTAGCTCGCTGCTTGTATTATTTGGCTATTGGGCTGTTTTTCACGGTGTCATCATTATTTTTCTGGAATATTCAGGGTAAATAGTCACCTGTGGTATTTATATGTTTGCTCTGATAAATACTCATATAAATATTTATATGTTTGCTCTGTACCAAGTAGCATGTCATCTGCCCTTTTACCCACATTATTTTTGCAACAAGTATAAAGTCTGCAAAGACTTCGCTACTTCAGATTTGTAGCTCTTTGTATTCCATGTAGTTTTTACTGGGTATTATGTGCATGCTAGTGTAGAAGAATGCAAGAATCAGTGTTAAGAATCTGTCTCTTTGACTGCCTCTAAAGGTGGAAGTTACTGCAGCCTGCCATCATACTCAGCACAGCTGATAAACAAGAACAGCATGATGCGCTGCTCCCAATGTCCCACAGGGTTGTAGCCCAAACACTCATGTTGCAGAACAGGCATGCAGAAATTGCTAGCTTGCTACTTAAGACTCACCAGCTTCTAAAAGTGTAGAGGATGCAGTCAGTGGCAAACAAGATTGTCCTGGCAAACATACATAACACAGGTGGTTAATGTGCCACTGCTGACCAAGCTGAGCTGCACAGGAGTGTTTCTGGAACTGAAGAATAAGCTTTGCACACACACAGTTAATTTAACATTGAATTTATAGATCAGCCTCAAAACTAAGGACTTCAGGCTTGTGAAGCATCATGGAATATGAGCGAGGGGGGCCATGTTGTTACATAAATTCCATGGTGTCACTTTGAGCATTAAAGCAAAGAGTTTGCTTTGGTTCTCCTGCATACGATTGTTGCCTACTGTGTCCACCTGCTCATTGTAGTGTGTGAGAGGGGCTGAAGGAGCAGGAATTTCAAGAAGATCTTGCACCTGATTGAACATGTAGGCAAGGTAATTTGTGTTGTGAATAAATTCTGTTTGCATCAGCAGCCTGATCTCTACCATGGTAGGCTTTCCCCTAAATCTACCCAAACCATGATCATCTTTTTCCAGGGAACTTAAGGCCAAAAAGGCTTGTACTATTATTATTTTATTTTTTTTTTTATGATCTGGTGATTTCTGAAGGCGAACAAATTTGCCTGTTAGGAGAAAGAGCTTATATTGCCAAACAGAACTACATGGCTGTCTCTCTGGCTAGGCAACTCAAGGATGTAAATGTTCTTCTAGTTACAGAATATAAAAGAGAAAACCAACTATTCTTCTCTCAAAACTTGGGCAACAGCATTTCAGAAGCCTAATTACTGTACTGCAATTACAAAATAGGGTTTTCTCATGCTAAAACTGACCACTTGGGTTTGCTGTATGAACAACCCTGCCATCTAAAATTCTGTATGAAAAAAAAATTAACCATCACCTCCCCAAAACAAGGTGAAGATTGGAAATAATAAAGATAAATTGCATACGTAATTAACATTCAAATTCTCCTTACTCACTGTATTGCTCTTGGCACTTAAACTCCATAGGGCAGAGGGAAAAGACTCGTTTAGACTTTGCTACCGATTTTTTCAAAGTGCAGAAATAGCGAGCAGTCAACAGGATATCTGCCAACATGTGTCACCATCCAGGGTGGTTTTTCAAAATTAGGTCAGTATGGACTTCTTAGGCTCTTGCTGACGGTAACAAAAAACTGACTATCTTTGTAGGGTAGGTGATAAACAATTTCACCATCCAAGATTTTTCTATTTTAATCCATGAATGATCTGCTTGTATGAAACAGAAATGAAGCTGTAGAAAATACACAGTTTGCACCAGTTTAAGCTGTTGTATCCGTACTATTACAGTTAGAAGTTGTTAAGACAATTTGTGAGCTTTTTAATCCCATCACTGAATTGAGAGAGTCACAGACAAGCATGTGGTGAAAAGCTAATAGAGCAAAGCTTTCTGCAGGCCTTTTAACATTGGCTTTGGTTTAAAGGACAGGCTGTTATATTCCAGGGTGGTCTGTAAGTTTCCATCTGTCTATTTCTTGGCTAAGGCTACATTAAAGTTTCCTTACAGAGAAGACAGGGTTCCAAGCAGTTGTCTAAATTATGCATGAAAACTTGATGAAGCTGTTCCAGAGTCCCACTGTCAGGTACTGTAGCTCTTGAATCCTGCAACAGTTAACACAACTGAAGCGTTAATGGGTTACTGGCTGGCGTCTTGTAGCGGTGCTTTGTTTGCTTTCAGCAGTAGGTGCAGTGAGGAATGTGTTCAAATTAACAATCAGATGCACCTTCATGTGCAAAGAGTACATCTCTGGGGCCTGTTGCAGTCTTTCCAGTATCTGACTTGAGCCAATTAATATTACATCAGCACCTCTATAAATCTTTTAGTCGTGTGCTATCATTTCCCCTGTGCTTACAGAAGCAAGAATCTGTTTATTTGTTGTGGAGAAGTCCAAAACATTTTTTTTTAATTTTTTTTTTTACTGTCTTTGAATTTGTGGAGATAGTTCTAGCTGTTGCTAGTAATTACTTTCTGGAATACTTTCTTAAGTGTGTATATTAAATTGATAGTTATCACTGTCTAAAATGGTTAAACTTAGTAGCTAGATATTCACACTAATTAAAACCAAATATCAGGCTTTCAACTGAGTTAACATTAAACAAATTGTTGATATAAAAACCCCAGTCACAAATTATTCAGATGTTGGCCTTTGAACTTGTCTTTTGCCGGCCCATAAAGAATCCTATATCAAGGCAATCAAAATACATGTAACTTACATCATATTTCTGTTGTATTGGAAGTTACTGTTCTGTTTTAGATAGTCTTGAACTGAACTTCAAGAGTGCTAAGTGTAGTATAATACAGGATGTATTTTTGAAAGCAAATGCCATTAAAGCATATTAAATATTTCAAGTAAAGCACATTAAATATTTCAAGGGTATAGTGCAGTCATTTTCCTTTTTTAATTATCTTCAAATTAAATACATATAATCAGTGCAAGCAGACTATACAAGTTCCTATATACCACATGACTGTATGACAAATAGTATGCCTCATCCCTTTCCCTCCCTGTGTTGCTGTCAGTAATGCTTAGTAGGATGCATGATTCATATCATATAACAGAGAGCAGGGCAGCACACAGCTGTCATACATCTAAATAGTCATATTGTTGATTTTCATCAACTACAGTGGAAAGGAACAGTATGCTTTTCTTTGCACTTCCGCTTAGCCACTTGATAATACACCTGTAAACATCCATGAAACATTTCTTTTCTTGTCACGATTGTAGCCATTGCCAATTATATTTTTCTTTTCTGCAGGCTGCTCTGACTCTGCCACAGAGACCACTTCTTCATTGTTCTACGGTGATTCCTGTTGTGGCTCTGACATTAAAGTTTATTATGCACCTTTTCAGGCTTAAGGATTCATGGTGCTTTCTTCCCTGGATGTTGTTTATATCCTGGACTTCTCATCATGTCCGTGACGGGATTCGTCATGGCCTCTGGATCTGCCCGTTTGGAAAAACTCCTCCTTTGCCATATTGGCTGTATGTGGCAATTACAGCATCTTTACCTCATCTGTGTTCATTTATTATGTATTTAACAGGTACTAGAGAATTAATGAGTATAAAACATGGAATCCGCATCGATGTATAAGAATGATGGCTTTTAAAGTATGTTTTTATTAGCACTTGAAGTAAGCTGTCTGTTTATCAGTGAAGTGGTTTCCTTATGTTTCCTGCAACTTCCAAGATAGGCTTTTTAAGGCTGTGGAGCCAGTTAACGGCTCCTGTGTCAATTCCTTGGGGTCACAGAATCCCTATGTAATGAATGGTAATAATTTTATATCTAGACATTCCCCTTGTAAAATATGTGGTCTTCCATTATAGCTTATGCATAGCTAACTGATTTATAAAGTATTTAGTCTCTCTCTGTAGTAATTACGTTATATTTTACTGTCATGGTGCCGTTTATTTGATCACCATTAACTTTGAATTTGTATTCTGCCTTCAGATAATATATTTAATCTAGACAGGATTTGTATAGCACTTTAAAAATGTAAAGTACTATATAAAATCTAAGTATTAGTGAGAATTTAGTAGTGCACAGCACTTCTAAAATGCATCACTTAGCCTTTTAAATTAATTTATTTGTTTTCCTGCTGGGCTCTTATAGTCAACGGTTTTAAAAGAAATGCTATTTGTATTTCACAATATGCAACTGTGTATCTGCACCTCTTTGAACACTGCTATCATATAGTGTTTCTACTAAATTGTATTCCTCTGTGGTTGCTTGGTATTCAATTTGCAGATAATTACTAGCTACTATTTGTGGTAAGAAAGGAGAAGACAGTTTGGTTACAGTATTATGTGTGTTGGCCAAATTGTTTAACTTTAAGAATATACTAATTATGAATATTATTTAATTTGGAACTAAGGAATTTTAGGAACTATTTAAGGATTGTGTAATGGCAAACTTATTTATTACAGTAAAACATAAGCTTTAGGGAAGATTCAGGAATTGCTTAAAATGTGAGTTTGCTTAAAGACCTTACTCCTGTGTTCATAAACAGCATTTTCCATGAAAAAGTGCAAGATCATCTTTATTATTGTAAAATAAAATGCATTATTATTATAATTATACAGAAATAGAAATTTCCTCATAAATAAGTTCCTTAAGGGAAAATGTGACTATATTGCAGATTCATAAGGTAGTAATTTGCAATGTGGACTGTTCAAAGTAACAATTTTCATTTACAGAAATTTCTCAGAAAAAGTCGCAAAGTGAAAAGCATGGGGCCTTAACTATTCCAGTTTCTGATGAATAGTTGTCAAAAGGGATTATTTTTATGGAAGAGCATATATAGGGTAGCATGTGCTGAACTTCAAGTGATCAAGTGATACATTTGCATTAGTAAATTTATATTAGTATAAAGTGCAAAAAATTACAGCAAATATTAATGGGGATGGCTGGCTTAATGGGTACCGGAGACCTTCTGTGGCTGCAAAGTACTAAAGGCTCTCTGCCGCACCCTAAGCTAGTGCGCAAAGTGTTTCACACTTTTAAAATGTGCCTTCCCACAAAAAAAAAGTCTCTTTCCTGTTTGTTCTTTATGTTAGAAATGTATGCTTATGGAAACTTGCCTGACAGTAGAGTGGGCCTTTTTAGCCTATATTATAAAATTAATAAAAGGGTTTTTTCTTGGAAAGAAGATTGGAAAAGCAGAACATTCCTTAAAGGATTGTCCTCATACTGTGGATTTCTGTCTTTTACAGTATGTAAAAGTTTTCCAGAAACAGAAGTGTCTTGCTTTAGAGCCCTCAGAGCAGGAGCTGCCTTTTATCTAAAGGCATGATGATTTAGTAGAGGAGGAGCATTGCTAGTTCACTTACTTTTAACCTGTATTTTAAACCATTGGCTATGAAATGCCAATAATGAATATATTTTGTGCAAGAAGTGAACACTTAAATCCGTGTAGAAAATTTTCTGTGTTCTTGTTTCATGGTATAATATTTGTATAATTTTGTGCTTTATCCAGATTTGTTGCAAAGGGAAATGTATATAGGAACAAAGAGGAGAATTATACTCTCATTTTTAGATTGTAGCTGTAGCATTTTTGGTAACTATATGTCCACCAACTGTCCTTAAGATTGGTACTGTACTGTTCTAACTATGTTTAAGGGTCAGCTAGTGGGTACCTCTTCAGTAGTTTAAAAACACTTACTTTCATTCTCTGTATTTCTAACAATTTTTGTGGCTTTTTTTACAATCATCGCACCTGTATTTCAAAATATTATTTTTCTGGTCGTGTTATTATACCAGTTCTACCACAGCAATAGGTGAACACCGCTTAGAAATGCATTAAGGAAAGTAGCAAGCACTTGTGACACATGACCTCTTTCTCTCTCCCTCCAAACGGACATGGCAGTCTCACTCCTCCTCCTTTAGGCAACTTTAGCTCAGGCCATTGACAACTTTTCAAGGTAAACTGACACGTTGCATGTAATGCTGTAATTTGTGGGTAGCCAGATTAGGGAACAAAGGAGAAGTTAAATATTTGTTCCAGCCCGTGTCACCTAGGAGATACACCTGCCTATTACAAATGAATTGCCTAACAATTCTTTACCAGTATTTAATGTACATTTCAAGTATGTTGATATGTCCAACTATGCATTGATACCTGCCACGTGTAGCAAAACCATGGCAAAAATAAACCAAGACAGTAAAAACATAATGAGTTTGTGCTTTACTGCATGCATTACAATAAAGAGTAAATGTGAAGTACAAAAAGCATGTGAATTACACAAAAAATTGTTAACAAACTCAAAGATAATAATTTCATGCACAATATATGATACATATCACTAAAATACTAGTTATTTCAGTGTCTCGTTTATTATGCTGATCTAAACATTTTCCATGTATTCTCTAATTATACTTACAAAGTTGAAGAAAGCATGGGGGTTTTTTTACTTACTTTTTTTTGTTAGAACTGTGCTGCTTTTTTTCCTGCTTTAATGGGTTGCTGTCATATAAAGTTGGTACCAATAATTGCCAAGTTAAAAGAAAAATGTTAGAATGTTTCTTCTCTGCAGTCCACTAGAAATAAGATAAAATTTGTCCTAATTCCCTAGTGGCTGTAACGTAAAGAATGAACGTATTTCCAACAGTTGATATTCTAGTTTAAAATGTAATCTGTATTTTCACATGACTACTGGTACCACTTTTCTCTACAGTGAAGTATATTGTGTCATGTGCCTTTGATTGGTTATAAGTGACTTATTTATAATTGATGCCATGCTCCAAGGAAAATGCTGGTGAGTTTGAATTAAACTGAAATAATTTTAACCGCCAGGCCATTGGTATTAGCTTATTATCAGAAGAACATTTCCTTTGCTAATGGGAATAAAGTTCCAGCAAGAGAGTGAGCGAAGTGGTTAAAATTCAGTCTAAAGGAAATGTTAGTACATAGTGTATTTTGAACACATGTATTTTTATTCCATCAGCTACTGTCAGTATGAAGCTAAATGGTTAAATGCATCAGAAGAGCACATTTCTGTTTAAGTAATTGAGCCAATCTAAGTTCTATAAGTTATGCAGATTTATTCAGCAGAAGAAATTTTCTGTTGTGTTACACAGTGTGGGCTTTGATCAACTTGTAATTTTGGGTCCACAAGCTAGGTTTTGTTTCCCTGCTACAGGGAGGCCTTGCATTGAAACAAAGTAAGAGTTGTCAGGTTAAAGTACCTTTTGCATTCATTACGAAAAAACAGTACTAACACTTTTCCTCAAAATAATAAATTGGTGCCTTCAGTTATCTCTTACAATTCCCCAAATTTTACATCCTCTGCACTGAATTATAAATTTGAGTGCTATATTGTAGAACTGTTTTCTGTTACTTCAAACTCGGAGCTCAGTTGGGAGGGATTCCATGGGAAGCTTCCTTGGAGGCTAAAGGAGTTAGCAAGCACTGAGACTTTTTCAAGAACGCTGTCCTGGAAGCACAAAAACAATTCATCCCCTTTAAAGGCAAGGGAAGCAGGCAGAGCAAAAGACCACCTTGGCTTAACTGTGAGCTTCTGAGTCTGCTCAAAGCCCAAAAGGGAAGTGTACCAGAGATGGCAAAGCGGACAAACACCCATTGAGAACTATAGGGGCATTGCCAGGGTGTGCACAGATGCAGTTAGAAAAGTGAAAGCTCAGCTTGAACTGAAATTTGCCAAAGATATCAAAAACTACAAGACAGAGTTCTTCAGGTACATTAACAAGCAGAAATAGAAGGAAAATTGACAGCCCAAAAAACCAAATGCATCCTGGGCTGCATCAGAAGAAGTGTGGCCAGCAGGTCGAGGGAGGTCATTCTGCCCCTCTACTCTGGTCTTGTGAGGTCCCACCTGGAGTACTGCGTCCAGCTCTGGAGCCCCCAACATAAGAAGGACACGGACCTGTTGGAGCAAGTCCAGAGGAGGGTGGTGAAGATGATCAGAGGGCCGGAGCACCTCTGCTATGAGGGCAGGCTGAGAGAGTTGGGGTTGTTCAGCCTGGAGAAGAGAAGGCTCCAAGGAGGCCTTATTGTGACCTTTCAGTATCTAAAGGGTGCCTACAAGAAAGCTGAGGAGGGACGTTTTACAAGGACATATAGTGATAGGATAAGGGGAATGGCTTCAAACTAGAAGAGGGTAGATTTAGAATAGATACCAGGAAGAAATTCTTTACTATGAGGTGGTGAGACACTGAAACAGGTTGCCCAGGGAAATTGTAGATGCCCCATCCCTGGAAGAGTTCAAGGCCAGGCTGGATGGGGCTTTGAGCAGCCTGGTCCAGTGGAAAGTGTCCCTGCCCGTGGCAGGGGAGTTTGAACTTGATGATTTTCAAGGTTCCCTCCAACCTAAACCATTCTATCATAAAATATTGGCCTACTGTTAAACAGGAGAGGTGAATTGGTCACCGACAACGTCAAATAGGCAGAGGTTCTCAACACTTTCTTCACCTCAGTCTTTACCAGCACTGTTGGGCCCCAGGCCTTGGGACCAACAACCCAGGTTGATGTAAACACAGACCCACTGTCAGCGAAGGAAGAGTTGGTATGTGAACTATTACAGGAGCTTGACCCCTACAAATCTATGGGCCCTGACAATATCTACCCAAGCGTGTTAAGAGAGCTCACTGATGTCATTGTGAATCCGCTCTCTATAATCTTTGAGAAGCTGTGGAGATTGGGGGACATCCCAGAAGACTGGAAGAAGGCTAATGTCACCCTCGTCTACAAGAAGGGCTTAAAGGAGGATCCAGGAAACTAGAGGCCCACCAGTCTTACTTCAGTCATTGGGAAAGTTATGGAACAAATCCTCCTGGTGGCTATCACAACTCAAATGAAGCATGTGGTTGGGAAAGGCCAACACAGATTCACCAAGGGCAAATCGTGCTTGACAAACATGATTGCCTTCTACAACAAAGTAACCTGCTTGGTTGATGTGGGGCAAGGGGTGGACATTGTCTACCTGGATTTCTCCAAGGCTTTCGACACGGTTCCCCACAGACTCCTCCTAGAGAAACTGATGCATTGCTGTCTAGACAAGTGG